CCAGGATGATCAGGAATGAGGGATCCCAGGATGATCAGGAATGAGGGATCCCGGGATGATCAGGAATGAGGGATCCCGGGATGATCAGGAATGAGGGATCCCAGGATGATCAGGAATGAGGGATCCCAGGATGATCAGGAATGAGGGATCCCAGGATGATCAGGAATGAGGGATCCCCACCTCCGTTGCGGTGTTTCAGGGCCAGGCACACCTCGATGATCTGCACCCCCAGCTCGTAGTAGAAATCTCCAACTCCCAACATCTCTGCCCAGAAGCCTTTTCCAGCTGGGAAAGGACAGGGAAAAGGGAAATCAGGGAAAAGGGCCGGGATCACCGGGAAAATCCCAGCCTGGAGTAGCTCCTGCTCACTGTGGGACGGGGATTTTGGGGTTTGTCCCCAGTGGGAACGGGAATGGAAAATGGGAATGGGAAATGGGAAATGGGCTGGGAATGAGAAATGAAAATGGGAAATGGGAATGAAGTGGGAATGGGAAACTGGACAGGAACGGGAAATGGGATGGGAACAGGGACAGGGATGGGAACAGGGACAGGAATGGGAACAGGGACAGGAATGGGATGGGAACAGGGACAGGGAGGGGACCCCAAACGCCACCGAGCTCCACCCCCAGCCCAGGGCAACCCCCAGCCGAGGTGCCCCCCAGCCATTCCCAAGGATCCCAGCAGGAATGCCCGTGGCAGGTGCCCCTCACAGGCCAGCGGGTCCACGCCGATGGTGGCACACATGTCCTGGAACTGCAGCCGGAATTCCGGGCTCTTCCGGATCTCCTGCTTGTGCTTGCTGGCAAACGCCTCCAGGTGGGTCCGGAACGTCTCCAGCTGCTTGGACATCTGGGGAAAAACCGGGAATAACGGGGTCAGGGAGTGGGGAATGGGAAATGGGGAATGGGATGGGAATGGGGACAGGAATGGGGAATCCCCACCTGGGCCAGCTGATCCTCAGCCAGGACCGTCCCTCGCTCCTTGTACTTGGCCTGCGGGGGGACAATGGGATGAGAGCACGGGAAAGGAGGGACAATCCCGAACCGGGACAATCCCGAACCGGGACAGTCCCGAACCGGGACAGTCCCGAACCGGGACAATCCCGAACCG